GGTCTCTTGAAAAAAAAGCCTTGAGCAATCGAGGGATCTTCAATCTACTACTAGTACTTACTACTAGCAGCATCCAAATTTTGCACATTTATATATACTGGTGTTACTAGTACTCTCTGTCGTTCGTTAAATTCCCAATCACAGTATAGTCCTCCACCAGTTGCTACTAATAATATTAACTAAGTAGTCAACCAGTATTGGTATCCTAATAGCCTTTCCTACTGCATTTCCTCCTCCAATTCGCTCTGGAAATATACTACAGTAGTTCCTGGCTTACAAGATATTACTGTAGTTGCACTGCGACTGTCAGAGGGATAGGACCGAATATACTACAAGTAGAACTATCAACAGATCTCACATGAACGAAGTAACAATATTGATACTAGATTGCTCACTCTGAGCGAAACAGATGGTACATCCTGGCCAGACTTTCTTGTTACTTCTTTCTGTAAGTGTCTAGAAGCATTCCACAGAGCGGAACTCTATTTTCAAATGATGCCAAGGGATCGAACTGAGTATACCCGAGATTGTGATCAGTAGAAACCCAAAACGGGACCTTAGATATCGGTCGAGCAGCACGGACAATATTCTACACATCCATCAGCCACAGGACTGGTGCCACGATTTGTCAAGACCAGACAGGCGATGGACAAGGTTGCTTACTCGATCTCCGGTGATGTTGCCTCCAGATACGCATGGTATCCATCTTATTGGCTTCCTAGAATGATTTCCTGCAGGACACATTGCAAGGATTAGGTGTTGTTTCAACATGTCTCCTTGCCAGAGAGCGAGATGTGATACAGATGCCATGATACATTCAGAGTTACGGAGAATATGTGGGGTAACTCAGAGCAGCCCGGTCGGCTTTCTTACATCCCTGAAGTCGGACATAATCGCGGAAAACCGAATGGGAGTCTCAGAGCGACCTTGAGATGCATCTCGATAGGGGCCATAGTGGTCTAGCATTGAGCTCGACGACGGATAATCGCAGAAGCAGCATGCCAGATTCTGTGGTAAGCGAGCTCCTCGCCTCTGTTAGATGACCCTAGCATCGTGCGGGAAAGGGCGTATGCGTGACACGCAAGGGTGTATTATTATCAATGCTATTCTTTAGTTGGGGCAAAACTATTTCGAATAATTGGTAGGTATTGCGACGCCATGTTGAACACCTAGTTATCGCGCCAGTTGTGTCGTTGTATTGCCATAGATATTGGACGCATCTGAAATATTATATAAGCCTCTACCAAGCGTGCCTATCTTCTGAGGTAGGGTCAAAAGGGATAGTAATTCGAGGGACCAGTCTGATGAAAGCGATGCAGCAGTCTTTCGTGGGCATTCGTATAGCAGAGCCAGGCGAGTGAGGCGACGATAGCGATCGGCCCAAAGTGGATGTAAGTAACATACTTACGGTACACCGACAAGTGCTCCGCGGATGGTGTCTCAACTCTCAAGCTTACATCTCGACCACTTGAGAGGCGTCATCCTGGGATAATGCTTCAGCTGTGGAAATCTCCCAAAAACAATAGCAAATATTTGCCCAACCAGGCGGTTCCTAGTGTACCATAGAGTTGCACAATTTGGTTCTGCTCCCGTGTCGGCCAGGCCCACCCTTAATTGCTGCTGCGGCTTTCCCTGGTTCCAATCTCCCACAAAGGTTCAGGGTGCAGGTTCAGGGTAGATAGTCATCAGTTGGCCCATGTACTCCCTAACAGTGCTGGAAGACATGCAACTGCGGAGATGTATACCACCTGAAACACTGTTCTGTGTTGGCTTGAACAAGGCTAACGGCAATGGATACACTTCATCCGAATAGTGGAGGCTGGGCCATTCGCTGTGTCCAGCACAGTCCGTGCCTCTGGCACCAACAGCCTCAAATCGGACGTGTGCCACGTCAGTCGATCACCGCCAGAGATAGATAATCCCTAAGACCTGCTCCTATGCATCATAAATTCCTCGCGATGATCAGGGCAATAAAGTTTCCGGTTCCTGCATTGATTCTTCCTTTTCTTCTCTTCTTCCGCCTGCTTGTACCTGAGTTTCTTGCAAAGACGGCTGCACCCCCTGCAGGAACTCATTATTTGGTCTGACTCTACGCCAGGGAGTAGAAGAAAAGTCTGACCATTTTCTATCCTTGCTGCAAGCGACAAGGTATAGACAAAGTGAAACGCAAAAAGGCAAGTGTTTACTTGACTTCCAGAAAGTTTGATGGGTGTGATAATGAACCGAGTCGGGATCGGCTCTTGTACCTCAGTTCCGGGTGCTGGTGGAGCTCCGACTCAAGATCTCATTTGATAACACCGAGTCTCGCAACAAGTGAACTAACTTGATCTGTAGGCGCAACTGAACCTTCATGCGGAGGGACTCAATCGCAGCGCATTGCAGTGGAGCAGTTTAATTGGAAAGAGGCCGGCTACTCTTGCGAACCGCCCGCCCCGTCCCCCTTTTGAGTCAGTCTTCTCCAGTCGCGGCCCTTCTGGTGCTTCTGGTGTTTCTGCCCTTTTACCTTTTTCTGTTCATTGCACTTCTTCCATTATTCAGTATTGTTCCGTGAAAGAACCGACTTCTATCGAAGTCCAATCGCGCCGTTCCTGCCGGTACTTTCTAGGTCTCTTCTTTTCCCGGGGGGGCCTCGAACCCAAGCGGCAATCACAACAAGCCCAGACTGGGAAAGCACGGCCTTCCTCCAGGTTCCTTGTCTAGCGCCTGCCTTTTCTGCCGTGGATCGACGCCTCTTTTCATTTCTCCTCCCGTGACTTTACGATTATCCTGCGCTTTTCTCCCCGTCCTTTGACTTCGCCGTTGGGGTGCTTCCCGGCAACTGCTTGCTATAAACCCAACCAAGACACTCATTCATCCCCAGGTTCTAATCGCATCAGTGGAATCCCTAGTGCTCTATTCGACCACTCGTTTTCGTTTTCTCTACAATTATATCTGTCGCACTGAATTGGACGCGTCGACAATTGGCACCCATTCGGATTAGAGACCATCGTTGCGCACACCCAATCGTTCATTCATTCGACCCCAAAGGTGATCGCGAAAGAAGGGAAAGAGTATGGAAACAATTGATTCGCTCTTCTGCTGAATGTTCATATCCGACTCGTGATCCGCTCGTCATTGTTCTGCCCTACGATATCAATTTTCGCATCCAGAAGCACCTGGCAGTCGCCAGTGCTGATCCAACCATGTCCAGCACGTGTATCTCATTGTCGGGCTCGACACAATGCCCGGCTTTTGACAGTTCCTCTGTCTCGACGAATTCCAGCCTGTATACAGATTTGTATGTACAAGCGTCCGACATGGGAATTTCATTGCGCTAATTGCTTCCTAGTCCCTTTATGCAATACGTGTCGAACCTCACGCAATTCGACAATGAGTTGAGCAGCTATGTCATGCAGGGATATGTCAAGGAAAAGTAAGTACCTCATTCCGCAACGGCAAGGGAAGCGTCTGACTAAAGCACTATTTACTAGGTATGAGGAATACTTGGGCTGTCAGGGGGTAAACTTGACGGATACCGACGATTATTACGCCCGCTATACGACAAGTGTTTTATGTAGCAGCCTGGTACAAAGCTCAAAGAGTGATTGTAACCTATCAGATGAAGAGTCAAGACCGCTTTGCGCTGATACCTGCGTTCGTCCATGCCCTTCTCATTATTTATTACCTGGAAATTCTCACTAACTACTGTTAGGCATCAATGGCGATAAGTGAAGAGGCGATAGTTACGGATACTAACCTCTGCTCCGAAAAAGCAAGCGACTACATGTCTCAAATTCGGTCTGACTTTACGATCTGCGCCCTGCCAGCCGATTCGCTTACGGTAACTTGCATCACGGGAGCCGAAAACGAACCGAAGAACTGCGGATATCGTTCAAATCTCTTGGGACTGTGTTCATATTGCGCCTCAGGATCGTCAAATTCCACAGATTCGTGCTGTACAGATTCGAATGCTGCTACTCGGTGTTTGAACGTCACAGTTCCGTCTTCGACACTTCCCCCGATCTTCACCTCTACAGCTGCGTCCAACTCAACAGCAGGCTCCAATGACTTATCGGGAGGGCAAATAGCGGGAATTGTTATAGGTTCGGTAGCCGGGTTTGCACTTCTCGCCGCATTAGCCGTGTTGGCATTGATTTATTGGCGACGCAGGCGCCGGGCTGAGAATGATAGCTCACTGAATCAGCCCAACCCCCAGAGGAAGGGGTCACCGTCAATGCAGCAGGACCGAAGTCTGCATGAGTTTGCTGCCATACCCGGCGGTCGAGTCGCCAGGATGTCCGCCTTGCGCGAAGTTTCCAGCTCATCCCCCGCTCGATCTCGGTACTCTGCTTTGTTCGGTGGCGGAAAGTACAGCGACACCTCGGATTCCGACCACGGTGCTAGCCCTGGAGCAATGTCGAAAAAAATTCCCCCCACAACAGGAAAGCGCCATGGCTCGCTATCCAGTAACTCAGCCTTGGCTGGTGCGGGCACAGATTCCTCCCCTCGTTCAGGAACCGGCGGCCAGTATTCGTCACCGGACGGACTGACCAGCGGCCAGTCGGAGCAGCTATCTGCCTTCCAAGACTACTACTCGCAGGATGACATTCATCCGGGCGACAAGGTTGCCGTACTCTGGGCATACCAGCCTCGGGCAGGTGATGAGTTCGCGCTGGACCGCGGTGAAATGCTTAAAGTGATCGGCATCTGGGACGATGGGTGGGCTACTGGTATTCGAATTCCCGAAACGGCAGAGGATCACGATGCTCGACACCGCGAGCAACGAGATAGTGGTGTATCTAATGGCTCACGGCGGGCCGCTACATCTCCCGCTCCCGTTGGGGATATCAAGGCATTCCCTCTGGTCTGTGTATGCCTCCCACAACATTGGAGGAAGATCATCGACGGCGGACAAGCTGAAGACGACTGAGGATTGGCAGCAGCTATTTGCCCACCCGTCGATTCAACACATGTCACCAATAACGCCAGATTTTATGCCCCAGTGATGATCTTTCTTTCTGATGTTGATTTCTTTTGCGCAATTGCTGGTTATAACGGTTAACCTCTCATATTTTGTCTTTTGCAACCAACCCTGTCTTAAACTTTTCTGACATGGACGATATCCTGAGACGATGTCATACGTTTGTCATTTGCGCTTATTCTCTGTTGAATTCTTTGAGCTTCCATATACCCCATTCTCCTGCAACAACTTGTTGCCACTTCATGTATGATTTTTCGTTCCTTTGCTTCCCTTCATCTCTACATACGATTTTTCTCTTCTGTGCCCCTGTTCCCACCATGTACACACATTTCGTGGACGAAGTGATGTCGATTATTGGTGCGGCAGCGGGGTCCTTATTTGTGGCTACCTATTCACCATCGTGCAGGTTGAACGATGGCAAATTTTACGATCTGGAAGTATAGATTATTCTGATACCGTGTTTTCATAGACGTTCTGAATTGTTGAAAATGACACTGAAATGTAGCTGCTTTACGCATTCTGTATGGAATGACAACGACATACGATGACCGTACCCGGAACACATGGATGCGATGCATCTTAACTGGAGCTAGGGCATAGGTAGAATATACACGCGTCCGACTTGGGCCATCAGGCACCATGAACCTTGTGATGATGACGGACAGCCATGTGCATTGCCTGTAATATATCAGGTTCATGCCCTGACGTGATACTGTTCGGCTAGCCGGGGCTAGTTCCATGGTTGGTAATCTATCAACGGCGGATTCTTCCGGTGTAAAGCAAGATTCGTCTGCCTGGAGGTACCAAGAATAGAAAAAGCCAACAGCAGACTGACAAAGGCACGCAGGCGTCCACGAAATGCTAGCTAGCTAGTCTAGCTGGTCGACATATTATTACAGCTAGATAGATCTCTCCCAAGATAGCAGGCCCCCACACTTAGAGAGCGACCGCCGAGGTATGGTTCGCAGATATGCCTATGTACCAGGCACTGGCCCCAACGCACCGTCATAGCCCGTGAATAAATGCCTGGCATGCATCAGGGTGCAGGCAGATGCATTACCAACAGTTGTGCGTATGGGTTGGTCACGCCTGCTTACAGTAACTACTGGACCAACCCAACCTCATAGTAAAAGTCCAGGCTCATTTCGTCATAACCGCAGGATTCAGGGGGAAAATAAGTATGGGTGGGAAGGGGAAATAAGCGGCCGGTGGTGCGACGGGTGGGTCACGTGCTAGGCATCCCCCCCCACCGCCGCCGCCCGCCGCAGCAGCAACCCAGCAAAGCACAACTAAATGCCCCTCTATCTCCATCTCGGTTCCCATCCATCCTCCCCCGTTATATTCCTCTCTTACATCCCCTCATCCTGTCCCCGTTGCTCTTTCGCAGACCCCCCTTAAAAGTCATTTGAACAGTCCCAACGGTGCTTGGTGCGTATGCCACTTTTCCCTTTTCATTTGCCGTTCTTTTCTCTTCAACCATTCTGCGATTATGACAAAGGACAAATAAGGGGGAATCCGGTCAACTAACATCGCGTGCATGCGCAGGTCATCCGTCTGTCAACTCGTCTTACCTCTTTTCCATCTCACCCCTTTATCCACATAAACAACCATGTCTGTGAGTAATAATCCATCTTGTGCTTCCCGCTCAGGGCTAACCGTTTATTTCCCTGTTTTGTAGCTCGCATCTGGGTATGTTCCTGACTGCTCCAAATCTCCGCATGTGTCTTCGAACATCCCTACCGTATCGGAGAACTCGACGATGGCAACCCCGAACAAGGCTGACTAGGTTACGGAGGACAGTGTTTCTATCACCGATGAGTGCATCACCGCATTCAACGAGTTCCGCATGAGCGGCAACAGCAAGGGAAGCAAGACGAAGTTTATCATTTTCAAGATCGCCGACAACAAGAAGGAGGTCGTCATCGACGAGGTCTCCCAGGACGAGGACTACGAGGTCTTCCGCGAAAAGCTCGCGGCCGCTAAGGATGCTAAGGGCAACCCCGCTCCCCGTTATGCAGTTTACGACGTCGAGTACGACTTGGGCGGTGGTGAAGGCAAGAGGTATGATGATGGCGATGGCTTAACGTCCGTGCTAGAATATCTGCTCACTTTCTTCTCACCACAGAAGCAAGATCATCTTCATTTCCTGGGTTCCCAGCGACACCCCTACCCTCGTACGTTTCGCACCGTCTCAGCTGTTTAAGCTCCAAATCATTGCTGACACCGATGAACTAGTGGTCCATGATCTACGCCAGCACTCGCGAGAACTTGAAGAACGCCCTCAACATCCACACCTCTATCCACGCCGACGACAAGGGCGACATCGAGTGGAAGACCGTCCTGGCCGAGGCCAGCGGTGGTAAGGCTGGCAAATAAACAATGGCGCCGGCTGGGCCCGGGCCAGGTGACTTGGTTGTTGCAAATCAACACATCACACTGACTCACTTTGCGGAGTACCTCGGAACGACCAACTTCTTCAGTTTCTCTGCACAAACTTAGTTAAATGAGAGATCGTTACGACTTGATTTCTTTTGATAGTGACCGTATCATCTTGCGATCGTGGCACTTTTCCTTTTTTTCCAATGATGAACGAATATTGGGGAGGGGATTTTCTTTCTCTTTATCAGCGTTTGTCTGTACAGAATACTGTTACGTGCCATGATGTGTGAATACGCGATTCGATGTAGAGTAGAAACATCAGGTCACCCTGCACACAACGAACCCCCCAAAACTGAGCTTTCAGTCGAGTGCTTAGGTCTGATATTCGTGTGAAATAGGCTATCTCGACTATTGAGTGCTGAGAAGGAATGCCGGCCAGATAGTATGAGCAGTAGTGAGTAGGTAGTAGGAAGCACTTGGGTCTTGGGTTGTGAGAAGGGCGGCTGGTCAGCGTTGACTAGATGTAGGGAAGATAAGGCGCCGGGGATGAATGGGAAGGGACACCCTAGAAGACTAGACGGATTAGCCTTAGATTATACTAGTAGTATAACAATACCCTATAGGAGAATTCTGGTGCTGACGGGAAATGGGAACATCATCGTAAGATGTGTCTTGGGGGCAAAAGCCATGGCGGACGGTCGGGACGGGCAGCGGGCGTGGACCAATGAGGGCGGCGGTAAAACGGACTAAGCTAGCCTGTCCGGATACTCGACTTCCACCTCAAACCACAAGTCGAACGTCGTCTTCGTCTCCCATCGCGACTCTTGGTACCCCCCTCCACTCTACCCCAGGTATTTCCCATCTTGAATTCCGACGAATCGGCCCTCTCGCTGCTGGAGAGTTGCTTTTTGGCGATCAATTGATTCTAATACGCGCGCACACCCTTAGCACACAATGTTCCTTCGTTCCGTTACTCGCGCTGCTGCTCGCAGCTCGGCTGTGCCCACCACGGGCCTGCGCTCCTACCGCACCGTTTCGGGCCCAATGGCTTGCCTGAACGCTCGTCCTCAGACTGAGAAGAAGTCTATCGCTCCCCAGCAGACCCGCGCCGCCTCCGAGCATGCCATCTCGAATCCCACACTCGCCGGTATTGAGAAGCGCTGGGAGGCCATGCCCCCTCAGGAGCAGGCCGAGCTGTGGATGCAGCTGAGGGACCGCATGAAGGTCGACTGGCACCAGATGACTCTCCAGGAGAAGAAGGCCGGTATGCTGCTCTTTCTTGCCCCTTTCCGCTATCTTCCCCGCGTCCAGCAGAATTTTGCTAACATGGGTTATTTTTTCTTCTTCCCCACGATTTAGCCTACTGGATCTCCTTCGGACCCCACGGCCCTCGCTCTGTGCCCCCCAAGGGCGAGAACCTCAAGATCTTCTTCAAGGTCGCCCAGCTCACCCTTGTCAGCTTTGGTATCTTCTACATCATCCACTTGTTCGCCAAGCCCCAGCCCAAGACCATGACCAAGGAGTGGCAGGAGGCCTCCAACGAGTATGCTAAGGTATGTGGAATTGACTATTTGCATTATTTACTTTCCAATTGGCACTGTCTTCGTGGTGGAACGGTCGCTGATACGTATCATCACAACAGCAAGAGAACATCAACCCTATCTACGGTATCAGCTCCGTGGGTTACGAGGGCAAGGGCTTCGTCCAGAGCCCTCCTGCTGAGAAGCAATAGATTGCCTCCACCCCTCGGGAGGAACAGGTATAACGACGGGGTGTGCAGTGGATGGGCAGTGTTGGGCTACAGGAACGAACTGCTGCCTCCCACCGCACGACCTTTGATGACGCCGGTTCTGTGCCCATCAATTTTGGACACGATCCTTCGCCTCTGTTCTACTTGTTTGTCAATGTTAGCCCAAAAAGACCTCTGTATCTCGTACTGTGCAATAATCAATCATCTCCTTTGTAGCCATAGAAAGATCAGACTGCAGGTTCTTTCGTGTTACTCGTGTAAATGCTGTAGAGTATGTGGGATAGGAATTTACAGACTCCTCTCTGTAGCTAGAAATTAACGCATGCTATATCTTAAACTAATGCTTTTCTAGAAAAAGCTTACAATGTATAGGGGATGGGAATGCTACGATGATCACTGTACAGGTGATTACATACAAGATGACGTTACTTTGATATTTCCTGCTGGGCAGGGCAAAGAAATGGGAAGGTTCGGAGCCACTGTTCGGTAGAGAGGCGGTAAGTCGGTTGGTTCAAGTTAAACCGGAGAGGAGAGCTGTCACAGTTCGAAATGCACAGTCTAATGCTCCTCTAGAAAATTAAAAGAGCAATAACAGGAATAACAATAATGAAAAATTATAATAAAAATAACCACAGTAATGTATCTACTCCATGTTCAGGAATCAATGGGTGGTGGTGGTGGCTGGGTTGGTTGGTTGGATCCCAAAGTGAAAATGCACGGTCGCCCGGTTGTTTACCGTCGAGACACCGCAAAACCAAGCTGGGACCCCCGAAAGGGTAATCACGGGAACACGTCAGATTTTTTTTTCGTTACAGCAGCGTTCGTCCGATATCGTCGGTCTACCCTTCCGTTACAGCGAAAGAACAACTTGCCTTGTTGTAGGGAGGCAGCCCCAACCCCCCTCACGAAAAGAAATGGCTTGAGCGCTATGCAGATGTGAGGGGAAAGGGAGGTACTTCTCGGAGTTGGTTGTTATGATTATTTTATGAATATTATAAAAATTCACCGTATATAAAGTTTTATTTTTTTTTTTGGTTGATGTATTTTTATTTTATTAATTATAGCTAGCTCTCTTTTTATTTTTATATATATTTACCTAGGCAAAAGAAAAAGAGAGAAGAAAAGGAAAAGAAAAGTAGTCTGTATTAGTATTATTTTGGATGGGGTACCACCTTCCTCCCAGTGCATCCGGGCGCCAAGACCATCCCCATTTGTGTGCGAATTTCCCCCTAACAACCAAACAGGGCAAGGTGGGAAAGCTCGAATTGCTCCCAGTATCGAATCAACGCCCCGACCGCCAGCATCACGGACATATGGGTGTCATTAGATTCTGCAGAATAGACTGGTAAAGATGCGGTCGCCATAGTAGAACCTCCCTAGTGAATGTCGGCGAGCTGAAAGCTGGTTACCATGCTGGCCAGCGCGTTGCTCGGTACATCACGGGATCGTCGGCAAAACCGCCCCGGAAAGGCTAAGCCGGACACATTCGCCCGTGTCCACCTCAACCTCAACCTCTTCCCTTCCTTTCCCTCTTTCTTCCCTCTCCCCATCCTCTCGTCCCTTTGACCTTTTCTATACCCCATTTCGCTCTTCAACACCATCAAGATGTTCAAGAGGTGTGTGACTATACTTCCCCGGATCCCTACTCCAACCTTTTACATTTTAAGATAATTTTTTATCTACCTTTAAATCCTTTTAAAGGCTTGCAACTAACCATTTCTTTCCCCCTTGTTACAGCGGTCTTGCCCGGACCTTCGGGAGGGCTGCTTTTGCCCGACCTACCTCCGTCGCCCGTCGCGCTTTCCAGCCTAAGACCAATGGCCTCCCTTCCCTGGCCCGTATGGCCAGCACTGAGGCCTCTTCCGTTGGAAAGATTCACCAGGTCATTGGTGCCGTCGTCGACGGTATGTGCCGGTCCCCCGTTCCAGAGAAAACCCTGCCGGCGGCTACGCGAAAATCTTTTCCGAGCCTCGATTCCATCCACAATCCCATCAAATTCGACTCAATGGCCATCAAATGAACACGATATCTGACTCTCGCCAACAGTGAAGTTCGACGGTGACAAGCTCCCTGCCATTCTCAACGCCATTGAGACCGAGAACGGTGGCCAGAAGCTCGTCCTTGAGGTTTCTGTATGTACACCAAAAAATCGAAGCTACAATGACATCAAGCTCTGATAGCTAACCCAATCTAGCAACACTTGGGTGAGAATGTCGTTCGTACCATTGCCATGGACGGTAAGCTTCCTCTCTCTCTCCCATGACCAGGAAAATAGAGATTTGCTTGGCAATATCAACCTCTCTTGTCACCGCTTTCTCTCTAACCTGGTCCTTCCACGTGTACTCGTCTCGCCGTGGCTAACATCAATGTTCCACAGGTACTGAGGGTCTGACCCGTGGTGCTGCCGCCCGTGACACCGGTGCTCCCATCACCATCCCCGTCGGTCCCGGCACCCTTGGCCGTATCCTTAACGTCACTGGTGACCCCATTGACGAGCGTGGTCCCGTCAAGGCCGACAAGTTCCGTCCCATTCACACTGAGGCTCCCGAGTTCGTTGAGCAGTCCACTGAGGCCGAGATTCTCGTCACTGGTATCAAGGTCGTCGATCTGCTTGCCCCCTACGCCCGTGGTGGTAAGATTGGTCTCTTCGGTGGTGCCGGTGTCGGTAAGACCGTCTTCATTCAGGAGCTGATTGTAAGTTGGCAATTCATCAAAAACACGTTTATATGACCCGAACCACTAACAACTTCTCTAGAACAACATCGCCAAGGCTCACGGTGGTTACTCCGTCTTCTGTGGTGTCGGTGAGCGTACTCGTGAGGGTAACGATCTGTACCACGAAATGCAGGAGACTGGTGTCATCCAGCTCGAGGGTGACTCCAAGGTCGCTCTGGTCTTCGGTCAGATGAACGAGCCCCCGGGTGCCCGTGCCCGTGTCGCCCTTACCGGTCTGACCATTGCCGAGTACTTCCGTGACGAGGAGGGTCAGGACGTGCTGCTCTTCATTGACAACATTTTCCGTTTCACCCAGGCCGGTTCTGAGGTGTCTGCCCTTCTGGGTCGTATCCCCTCTGCCGTCGGTTACCAGCCCACTCTGGCCGTCGACATGGGTGGTATGCAGGAGCGTATTACCACCACCACCAAGGGTTCCATTACCTCCGTCCAGGCCGTCTACGTCCCTGCTGACGATTTGACTGACCCTGCCCCCGCCACCACCTTCGCTCACTTGGACGCCACCACTGTCTTGTCCCGTGGTATCTCCGAGTTGGGTATCTACCCTGCCGTCGACCCTCTCGACTCCAAGTCCCGTATGCTCGACACCCGTATCGTCGGTGAGGAGCACTACAACACCGCCACCCGTGTCCAGCAGATGCTCCAGGAGTACAAGTCCCTCCAGGATATCATTGCCATTCTGGGTATGGACGAACTGTCTGAGGCTGACAAGCTCACCGTCGAGCGTGCCCGTAAGCTCCAGCGTTTCCTGTCCCAGCCCTTCACCGTCGCCCAGGTCTTCACTGGTATCGAGGGTAAGCTGGTCGACCTCAAGGACACCATCCGCAGTTTCAAGGCCATCATCAACGGTGAGGGTGACGACCTTCCTGAGGGTAAGTTTAAATCTTTTGATCTTCTAATTTGTTGACCAACATGGATGCTAATTCGTTTTTCTACAGCTGCTTTCTACATGGTTGGTGACTTCGAGTCTGCCCGCGCCAAGGGTGAGAAGATCTTGGCCGAGCTCGAGAACAAGGCCTAAATGTAATATTGTTTTTAAGCGCCCTTTTCCTTTTTTGTTAGACATGGACTTCCTTTCTTCCATGTGCCGTTTTCTACCGATCCGTGTACAGTACTCGAATTGAGAAAAGGGAGTTGAAAGAATGGCGAGGTCCCCCCTATATAAAAGGATGAGAGCGCTCTTAACGTACACCTCTCTGAAAGTCTGGATGGAAACTTCCAGGCTTTGTGTTACACTACGTGCTCATGTAAGTAAGTTAAAATGACCACAGTCAGCCTGATACCCGCTGGGCTGGGACAATTGTACTCAATTTCCTTTGTTACTCCGGGAGACCGTGATATCTGCTTTGTAGGCATTACTAGTACGTAGTGTGTAGTTCTGTATGATTCCCTACATCAAATTATAACGTCCCTTCTAGGACACGTATCAACATCTCGTTGCCATAGCATCACCGTTCTACTACGTATACCCCATAAATACCTCAACTGCATTGCAACCATCTCAACAATTAGTATCATCCTCATGTTAATTCAGATAGTACTACTCCCGTTTTGCTACAATTTTAGTGAATAGTCAGTACTAGCCAGCTAGTACGAGTAAGTAGTCCCAAAGTCTGATATATATATATATATTCATATAACGGAATGAAGGGCTGAAGGAACGCAATGGACTCACGGACAGGATGAGCTATCATCATGGCCTGGTATTAAGTGCTTAGCAACGAATGATATCGGGGTCGAGTTATGTATGATTCGTGAGCAATATTACGTAGTACTAGGGCGTTTGCTGTTTGTTGCTCTGGAATTTGGATAAATTCATAGTGGTGGTGGTGGTGGTGGTGGTGGTATCAGAACTTTGTACCATGATGGTGCTATGTATCATCAAGTTTATATAGTAGGTAGAAATAATAGTTTATTATCGGCTGGCTACTAGTACTACTACTAGTAGTGAGTACTAGTGCTAGGGAAGTAGTAGCGATATGGTCCTACCGGTAATGTGAGAGACTGAGTGGGAGTGGTTAGTTTAGGGTGTGCTCAATGGTACTAGTTTGTATATGGATATTATAAATGACTGAAATATCATGGTACAATACCGAAGGAGTAAATGATAGAATGCAGAATGGACATTAACAGACACTATAGACTAACTCAAAACAGAACAATGAGTGGTGCATGTTTATTCACACATATCATCCCCTAAGATTTATGCTGCAATTGTCTGAACACAGTGGCTTTCGCCGTGTGGAAATGTCAGGAGAACTACATGAGATCGACCTATAGAGTCTCTTCCAAGGCAAGAACCTATAATTTGACATGAATGTTAGCATGGTGAGTCTTGGTAAATGAAATCGATTGCACTTACCAGTGCTGTTCGTGTTGGGATGTAGACCTGCAGATAATTGCTGCGGTTATTCCAAGGCAGGTCTGTCGTGAAGAAGCGCGTCTCCTTGAGGTTGCGTCCGAAGCCACCAAACTCCTTGTCATCGGTGTCAAGCACGATTCTG